GTCAAATCGCTACATATGTCAAACTCAGTCACTAGTGCGCCCAGATAATCCACCTAGCGAGATTACGCATCAGCCACTTTGTTGCACTCTCCCTTGATTGGATCAAGTTGATAGTCATACATGTCTATCACTTGTATCCGGCGCTTGAGTGCGTCAGAGAGTACTGGCTGAGTCTTGATCCAGCGCAAGGTCTCATGGTCAGATCTCACATAGAAGAATCGGCCAAGGAGATAGTATCTCCAATGTACCAGCACTCTGTACAGGGCATAGAGCTCACACTCATAAGTGGAGTTAGCTAGTTTCTGAGATGGCATCTTTTTGCTCATGTACTCGATAGGTCTCAACTTGGGCCCCTCCTTTTGCACAAGGATCGCGCCTATGCCATATTGGCTGGCGTCTGTGGTCACGACAAACGGCTTATCAGGATCAGGAAGTTTAAGAACCTCATAGTGTGTCAGGGCGTACTTCAGTTTCCTAAAGTCCGCCTCACACTCTTCAGTTCACTCCCAAGGGGTGTCCAGTCGAGTTAGATTTGTCAATGGGGAAGCTATAGTACTATAGTTCTTCACAAACGGACGATAGTAGCCCGTCATCCCCAAAAACGATCAGACCTTAGTAACAGTCTGAGGTCTGGGCCAGTCACGTATGCTTGCCACCTTAGCATCATCCGGCCTCAATCCATCTGCTGAGATTTCATGACCCAAGCACAAGATCTTGGTGCGACCAAACTCGCATTTCTCCAAGTTAACCTTGTATTGGTGCTCTCTTAGGAGACCTAACACTGTTTTCAAGTGCTCAGCGTGCTCCTTTACAGTCCTACCAAAGATGAGAATATCGTCGAGGTACACGACGATAAACTTGTCCAAGTGGTCATGAGAAATCTTATTCATCGCGTGCTGGAATGTACCAGGTGCATTGCATAGTCCAAAGGGCATCACCACAAACTCGTACAGACCGTACCTGGTCTGAAATGCGGTTTTGTGCTGATCCTCATGCCTAATGGCAATTTGATGGTATCCGGACTTCAGATCTATCTTTGTCAAGTATCGGCATCCCTGCACTCTATCCAAGAGGTCGTCGATGCGGGGTAGGGGCTCCGCGTTCTTAACGGTGATGGCATTGAGGCCCCTATAGTCAATGCACAAGGTACCTCCCTTCTTCGGTATGAATAGGACTGGAGCGCCGTAAGGGGAGGTACTAGGCCGAATCCATCCCTTCTCTGTGAGCTCCTTGAGCTAGCGGCAAAGCTCATCTAACTCTGCAGGAGACATCTTATAGATTCGTCCTCTAGGTACCTTGCTACCTGAGACAACCTCTATTGCATAGACAACCTCCCTTTCCACCACGCCTGTGGACTCCTAAAAAAAATCTGAATATTGTGCGACGACTGATACATGGGGGTGTTTTAACGGCCTCCCCTTTCTAAGAGACAAATACTAGATACATGCCCTCCTCGCGATTCTGCTTATAATAGTTATAGAAGGATGATGCACATATGCACCCGTAGTTTTCTATCAGACTGCTAGCTTTGAACGTTTGCAATCTAACAGATCTACCGTTGGACAATTTATGAATCAATACCTTTCTATCCCAGTCAAACTGCGATTGCGCGACCTCAAGGTAGTACATACCTAGGAGCATATCAAAAGGCAGTTCGTCGCTAACCAGGAAGAAAATTTTATGACTCACTTCCCCTCCTCCATAGGAGAAGGTGCAGACTACGTCCTTGACATAGTCTTTTACCAACATTTGGTGCTTGTTGGTCAGTGTAGAAGCTACAACTCTGCTAAGCCGCTGCACTTGGTCCCCTAAGCGCAGTCTATCCACACAAGCACGACTGATGAAATTTCACGTACAGCCTATGTCTGCGAAGGCGCCCACTTTTCGGCCACCTACATCAACTTCTACCACGAAATGTTCACCCTTTGGCTATGAAACACCCGCAGACGCGTCCTCGGGTCCGATCTCGGATGGCGGACGCATCAGCGACCGACCTGGTCCGCGCTGCGGACTCAATTTTACCAGAATTTTCCTGAATTAAATAATAGGTTAAAAAAAAATAAAACAATATGGGGTTGTCCCTACAATCCCATATATTGTTTTTTGGAATCCGACTTTGTTTAGGATTTTTCAAAAATCAAAAACTAAATTCGATTTAAAAAAAAATAAACAAAAATATATTTAAAAAATCAAGATTTTTATTTTTTTTATTTTTTATCATGAGATATATGGTCCCTGAGTTCACCTGTATTGTTTTAGAAATGAATTGCTGTTTTTTGCAGGGGTATGAGGTGTTTTAAAAAAATGCAAATGCAAAATTTGAAAATAAATAAAGAAAAAACTTAAAAAAAGGGGTTTGATTGATTGATTGATTGATTGTGAGTGAGTGAGCGAGTGTGTGTGTGTGTGTGTGTGTGTGTGTGTGTGTATGTGTGTGTGTGTGTGTG